CTCCAGAGAAGGAGGGGAAAGGGGCTTCCTCACACCAAGTACTCTTTCTGTGACGAGGGAAATGGAGACACTGGGGTCAGGCAGACAAGTGAGAAGATTGTTCCATAAAGAGGCAAAGACCCAGTCAGAGGTTCTGAGAAATGGAGGTTGTGTTGCTCACCTCCATCAAGGAGGGTAGGCACAGCGCTAGCCAAACACCTAAGATGAGTTGAGATCACACCTGCTCAATACTCACGCCTTTCCCTCTCTTTCCTTCTAGCCTCACTTTTAACATGCTGGTATCCACCCGCCATTGCCCAAGTCACCATTGAATCAGTGCCACACAGAGTGGTCGAAGGAGAAGACGTTCTTTTCCTTGTCCATGACCTGCCATCCTATATTTTAACCTTAGCCTGGTTCAAAGGCGAGGCAATAATAGACAATGGAATTGCATTTTATGCACTGGGCAACGAAGTCCGTGCACTCGGGAATCTATACAGTGGCAGAGAGACAATGTACCGCAATGGATCCCTGTGGATTCGCAATGTCACCCAGGCTGACACAGGAGTCTATACCCTAGGAATCTTAAGTGGCCCAAGAGAAATTCTATCAAAAACATCCATGTACCTTCATGTGTACTGTAAGTACTTCTTTGTGAATTCTCGTGCTGGGTGGGGTTCATTCCACTGGACACACCCAGAAGCGCCAGCCCTGGTATGTGCAAACCTCTCCTCTGCATTGTGTCTCCATGTTGTGGTCTGAGAATTTAGTGCAGGACACACATGGTGGAAAATAACCGTAGTGGATAAGAATCCTTCATTTGAATTCACCTTATACCCAGGTGGGTGCATGGGGGGTAACTCAGCCAAGGTGATCTGCCTCTGTCTAGATTCTCAGGATTCTCACCAGGAAAGTGTTCTTGAGAAAGACCCTGAGGGAATCAATGTTGGGTCTGGTTGAGGAAAACATGGGATCTTCAGAGAGATGTGAGCACCAGGATGCTCTGGCTCCAGACCTCTGTCCCAGAGTCAACTATTGGTGTCCCGAGAAGCAATTTCAAAGTTTGGATTTTGACTTCCTTATGGTCAGGAATAGTTCTTTCTAGTGGTCAAAGCCTTGTACCATGTGGAACCAGCCAGTGCACTGTCACGAGAGATGCACTTAGGCTAGGTCCCCTGGACATCTTCTCCCGAGACTCAGCATTGAGAACAACTGAGGGCCATTTGAGACTTCACAAGAAACCCAGGGTCATGAAGGCATGGAGAGAAGACACATGTTCTCCTGAGAAGTGCTTGTTCTCTGTGGGCCAGCTCAGAGAATTCTCTGCTCTTGACAAACAAATGGCTTCAGGCTCTTCTAATCTGGACAGCTTCCCATATGTGAGCTGCAGTTCCCACATTGGTCACCAGGGGCAGCGTTGGGACACACAGTCGACACTCAGAAAAAGTATTTCCCTAATCAGTGACACAGTCTTCTCAGACCTACTCATTGCTCCCTGAGTCTTTTGTACTGCCAGGGGATTATTTCCAGTTCCAGAATGTATGTATTTCCTTAGGGAAACATGGGGGTAGTCAAGGCGAAACACCCAGACAGAGGTCCAAGTCATCCCAGAGGCCAGGGAGCACATGGGCAGACTCATCGTACAGCTCCGTAAGCAAAGGAATTGGGAGCATCATCCTGAAAGTCTGCATGGGATGATGGGGTCCAGAGCGTTATTCACAGGGCTCAGGTCATCTCATCCCTCACACCCCAGTCGTGGGTCTCCTGACGCATCTGCTACTGGGGCTTCATCCTGGATGAGAACATTGACTGATAACTGCAGTGCGAGCAGGTCTGTCCCGTTCCCCAGGCACCCCTCAGCCGGTCCATTTGAAGCCTCGTGAGCATCTCTGCCACCTTCCTGCTAAGAGGATCTTCCATCTTTTTAGAGCACTGAGAAAAACAGGGCCGAATGGGTGCCCAGCTGGGTTTCTGTGTCCCACAGGGAACACAGAGGCTCCCACTATGGCGCTGACAGACCCAGGGAGAGGACACAGCCGAGGGCAGCCCCAGGGTGAGCTTCTGTTGTCTCTGGATGCAGGGAAGCTCATCAGCCCTTTTGATCACTGTGTGGTCTGGAAGTGGAGCATAAAGAGAGAAGTGGAGAGGGATAAGGGGAGGCCCTTCTTTCCACACAAAGTATTTTTTGTATATATATATATATATATATATATATATATATATATATATATATATGATTTCAAAGACACTCAAGACACAAATATAAGATGTGATGCTGTAGTTGACCTGGGCCTCCAATCAAAAATACAAAATACAAGCAATTAACCATCTCTCTGTGTCAAAAACTTGAAAGATAGGAAGAAAGTGGGCTTTAAATAATAAGGTGGATTTCGGGAGAAAGGAGGAAAGACAAACTTGTTCCCAAAGTGGGAGGGATTCCATGAATAATGACAAAGAGATGGATGGGGAAGAGGTGTAATGTCTTCAGAAAACAGTGGGAGTTCTTTTTTTTCCTCTTTTTTTATTTAAATTAGAAACAAGCCTGCTTCACACATCAATCCCAGCTCCCTCTACCTCCATTCCTCCCCGACCAGCACCAATCCCCCATCACATCCCCTTCTGGTCTGCGGGTAGGGTGAGGCCATACATGGGGGATCCCCAAAGTCTGTCATATCATCCAGGGCAGGATCTAGACATTCTCCCATGTGTCCGAGCTGAGAGAGCATCCCAAAGTTCAGGGATAAATACTGATCTACTGCCAAGGACCCCATAGATTGCTGAGGCCTCCTCACTGACACCCACATTCAGGGGTCCGGATCAGTCTCAAGCTGGCCTCCCAGCCATCAGTCTGGAGTCCATGAGTTCTCCGTAGTTTCGGTCAGCTGTATCTGTGGGTTTCACCAGCCTGGTCTTGACCCCTTTGCTTTTCACTCATCCCTCTCTGCTGCTGGGTTCCAGGAACTCAGTTCAGTGTTTAGCTGTAGGTGTCTGTTTCTGCTTTCATCAGCCATTGGATGAAGGCTCTTGGATGGCATAAAAGGTACTCATCAATCTCATTATCGGAGAAGGGCATTTAAGGTAGCCTTTCCACTATTGATTAGACTGCCAGTTGGTGTCATCTTTGTAGACCTCCAGACATTTCCCCAGTGCCTGATTTCTCTGTAAACCTAAAATGTCTCCCTCTATTATGGTATCTCCATTCTTGTTTTCTTCTATTCTTCCCCTGACTCAACCTTTCTGCTCCCTCATGTCTCCTCACCCCTCCTCTTCTCCCCTTCTCATTCCCATGCTTCCAATTTGCTCAGGAGATCTTGTCTCTTTCTCCTTTTCCAGGGGACCATGTATGTCTCTCTTAGGGTCCTCCTTGTTTATTAGCTTCTCTGGCAGTGTGGATTGCAGGCTGGTAATCCTTTATGTCTAAAATCCACATATGAGTGAGTACATACCATGATTGTCTTTTGTGATTGGGTTACCTCACTCAGAATGGTTTCTTCTAGTTCCATCCATTGGCCTGCACATTTCAAGATCCCATTCTTTTTCCTGCTGAGTAGTACTCCATTGTATAAATGTACCACATTTTCTCTATCCATTCTTTGGTTGAGGGATATCTAGGCTGCTCCCAGGTTCTGGCTATTACAAATAGTGCTTCTGTGAACATGGTTGAGCATATGTCCTTGTTTCATGAATGTGCTTCTTTTGGGTATATGCCTAAGAGTGGAATTGCTGTATCTTGTGTTAGACTCATTCCCATTTTCCTGAGGAGTCACCATACTGATTTCCAAAATGGCTGTATAAGTTGACACTCCCACCAGCAGTGGAGGAGTGTTCCCCTTTCTCCACAACCTATCCTGCATAAGCTGTCATTGGTGTTTTTGATTTTAGCCATTCTGACAGGAGTAAGGTGGTATCTCAGGTTTGTTTTGATTTGCATTTCCCTCATGGCTAAGGATGTTGAACACTTTCTTACATGTCTTTCAGCCATTTTAGATTCCTCTATTGAGAATTCTCTATTTAGTTCTGTACCCCACTTTTTAATTGTATTGTTTGGTGTTTTGGAGACTAGCTTCTTGAGTTCTTTGTATTATTTTGGAGATCAGCCTTCTGTCAGATGTGGGGTTGGTGAAGATCTTTTCCCAATCTGTTGGCTGCCATTTTTGTCTTACTGACTGTGTCCTTTGCCTTACAGAAGCTTCTCAGTTTCAGGAGGTCCCATTTATTAATTGTCCATCTCAGTGTCGGTGCTACTGGTGTTATGTTCAGGAAGCATCTCCTGTACCAATTCCTTCAAGAGTACTTTCTACTTTCTCTTCTAAGAGGTTCAGTGTGGCTGGATTTATGTTGAAGTCTTTGATCCATTTGGACTTAAGTTTTGGGCTTGGAGATAGTTATGGATCTATCTGCAGTCTTCTACATGCCAGGATCCAGTTATGCCAGCACCATTTGTTGGAGATACTTTATTTTTTCCATTGTACAGTTTCAGCTTCTTTGTCAAAAATCAGGTATTCATAGGGGTGTGGGTTAATAACAGGGTCTTCAATTTGATTCCATTGGTCTACCTGTCCATTTTTATGTCCATACCAAGTTGTTTTCAGCACTATAGCTCTATAATAGAGTTTGAAGTCTGGGAAGGTGATGCCTCCAAAAGTTCTTTTATTGTACAGGGTTGTTTTGGCTATCCTGGGTCTTTTGTTTTTCCATATGAAATTGAGAATTGTTCTTTCATGATCTGTGAACAATTGTACTAGTATTTTGATGGTGATTGCATTGAATCTGTAGATTGCTTTTTGGAAAGATTGCCATTTTTTTACTATGTTGATCCTACCTATCCAAGAGCATGGGAGATCTTCCCATTTTCTGGTATCTTCTTTAATTTTCTTTCTTTAAAGACTCAAAGTTCTTGCAATATAGGTCTTTCATTTGTTTGGTTAGTGTTACCCTAAGGTATTATATTTTTTTTGTGGCTATTGTAAAGGGTGGTGTTTCTCTGATTTCTTTCTCCATCAATGTGTCATCCGTATATAGTAGGGCTACTGATTTTTTGAGTTAATCTTGTATCCTGCCACTTTGGTGAAGGTGTTTATCAGCTGTAGGAGTTCCCTGATAGAGTTTTTTGGGTCACTTATGTAAACTATCATATAATCTGCAAATAATGAGTTTGACTTCATCTTTTCCGATTTGTATCTCCTTGATCTCCTTTGGTTGTCTTATTGCTCTAGCTAGAACTTCAAGTACAATATTGAAGAGGTATGGAGAGAGTGGACAGCCTTGTCTTGTTGCTGATTTTAGAGGAATCACGTTGAGTTTCTCTCCATTTGGTTTGATGCTGGCTTTTGGTTTACTGCATATTGCTTTTATTATTTTCAGGTATGTTCCTGTTATCCATGATCTCTCCAAGACATTTATCATAAAGTTGTGTTGGATTTTGTCAAAGGCTTTTTCAGCGTCTAGTGAGATGATCATGTGGTTTTTCTTTTTCAGTTTGTTTATATGGTGGATTACATTGATACATTTTTGTATGTTGAACCATCCTTGCATCCCTGGGATGAAGCCTACTTGATCATGGTGAATGATTTCTCTGATATGTTCTTGGATTAGATTTGCCAGTATTTTATTGAGTATTTTTGCATCAATGTTCATGAGGGATATTGCTTTGTAGTTCTCTTTCCTAGTTTGTCTTTGTGTGACTTGGGTACCAAGGTAATTGTAGCCTCATAAAAGAGTTTGGCAATGACCCTTCTGCATTTATTGTGTGGAGCCAATTATGGATTACTGGTATTAGCTTTTGTTTGAATTTCTGCTAGAATTTTGCACTGAAACCATCTGCCCCTGGGCTTTTTTTGGTTGGGAGACTTTTGATGCCTGCTTCTATTTCATTAGGGGCTATGGGTGTATTTAAATTGCTTATCTGTTCTTGATTTAATTTTAGTAATTGATATCTGTCCAGGAAATTGTCCATTTCCTTTAATATTTCAAATTTTGTGGAGTACAGGTTTTCAAAAATATTACCTGATGATTCTCTGGATTTCCTTAGTGTCCGTTGTTATGTCCCCCTTTTCATTTCTGATTTTCTTAATTAGCATGCTCTCTCTCTCTGCCTTTTGGTTAGTTTGGATAAAGGCTTGTCTATTTTATTTTCTCAAAGAATCAACTCTTGGTTTTATTGATTCGTTGTATTATCTTCTTTTTTTCCACTTTATTGATTTTAGCCCCCAATTTGATTGTTTCCTGGTGTCTACTCCTCCAGGGTGAGTTTGCTTCTTTTTGTTCTAGCGCTTTCAGTTGTGCTGTTAATTCTCTAGTGTGACTATTCTCCGGTTTCTTCAAGTGGGATCCTAGTGCTATGAATTTTCCTCTTAGCACTGCTTTCAAAGTGTCCCTTAAGTTTGGGTATGTTGTGTCTTCATTCTCATTCAATTCTAGGAAGTCTTTAATTTCTTTTTTTATTTCTTCCTTGATCCAGGAATGGTGCAATTGCACTCTGTTCAATTTCTATGAGTTTGTAGGTTTTTTTTTTTTTTTTGCAATTTTTGTTGTTGTTGAATTCTAATTTTAAACCATGGTGATCTGAGTTTTTTGTATCTGTTGACATTCTCTATGTTGCTGAATATGTGGTTGATTTCAGAGAAGATTCCTTGTGGTGCTGAGAAGAAGGTATATTCTTTTGTGTTTGGAAGGAATGTTCTATAGATGTCTGTTTATCCAAATGGGTCATGACTTCTGTTTGTTTCTTTGTTTCTTTGTTAAGTTTCTGACTGTTGGTCCTGTCTAGTGCTGAGAGTGGGGTGTTGAAATCTCCTACAATAAGTGTGTGGTGTTTAATGTGTGATTTGAGCTTTAGTTATGTTTCTTTTACAAATGTGGAAGTCTTTGTATTTGGGGCCTAGATATTCAGAATTGAGACTTTATCTTGAGGGACTTTTCCTGTGATGAATGTGAAATTCCCTTTTTCATCTCTTTTGACTGATTTTAGTTTGAAGTCTAAGTTTTTAGATATTAGGATTGTTCCACCAGCTTGAATCTGTAGATTGCTTTGGTAAGATTGGTAAATGCCTTTATTAATTGGTCTAAATAATAAAAACCAGGAGTCAAACATAGAGGAAACGGCTGAGAGATTATAGACAAGGAGCAGGCCAAAGTCACCTTTACCTCACTAGCTTCCCAGTAGGAAAAAAGCAACTTCCTATTTCTTCCCACTTATATCCTGTCTCCACCCAGCCACCTCACTTCCTGTCTCTGCCCAACCATCTCACTTCCTGTCTGTCTGTACAGACCTCCTGACCTCCATGGTTAGCTAGTGGCAGACTCCATCCTCTGATTTTTTAATTTAAATTAGAAACAAAATTGTGTTACATGTCAATCCCAGTTCCATCTCCCTCCCCTCCTCCCCTGACCCCACTAACACCCCACCTGTGGCATACCATTTCTGCTCCCCAGGGAGAGTGAGGTCTTCCATGGGGGGGGTCTTCAGAGTCTGTCATATCCTTTGGGATAGGGCCTAGGCCAACCCCCCTAGACACCCTAAGTGTCTAGGCTGAGGGAGTATCCCTCTATGTGAACTGGGCTCCAAAAGTCCATTCCTAAGCTAGGGATAAGTACTGATCTACTACAAGAGGCCCCATATATTTCTGAGGCCTCATCACTGATACCCACATTTATGGGGTCTGGATCAGAACCATGTTGGTTTCTCACTGATCTGTCTGGTGGCCAAGAGCTCCCTCTTGTTCAGGTCAGCTGTTTCTGTGAGTTTCACCAGACTGGTCTTGACCCCTTTGCTCATCACTCTTTCTCTGGATTCCAGTTCAGTTCAGTTTTTAGCTGTGGTATCTGCTTCTACTTCCATCAGCTACTGGATGAAGGCTCTAGGATGGTATTTAAGTCAGTCATCAATCTCATTATCAGGGGAGGGCATTTAAGGTAGCCTCTCCACTGTTGCTTAGATGGTTAGTTGGTGTCATCCTTGTAGATCTCTGGACATTTCCCTAGTCCCTGATTTCGCTTTAAACCTATACTGGCTCCCTCTTTGATGGCATCTCTTATTTTACTCCCCTCTATTCTTCCCCCTACACAACCTTCCTGCTTCTTTATGTCCTCATCACCCCTCAAGATATCACTACATTTTCCAGGCACCATTTTTTTTTAAAACGTAAGACAAATCCAGGTTCTCACAATTCCATATCCCAGTGTACTAAAGTAAAGAAATGTTGAAAGGTGAAGTCAGGTGCTGACTGGAACCACAAAAGTAAAGAACATAACAAAAAGTCAACTAGTCAGGTGTCATGGTCTAGAGGGAAAGAAGCCAGGAAGTCATCTCCCCACACCAGTCTACACTGAATGTGAGCAGGGGTTTGAGGGTCTGTGAGCAGGGACATATTTACACCTGAGCAGAGAGCACCATACATAGGAAATGACAAGTTTAGGGACACTGAGGACATGGAACCCAGTAAATGACAGGAAGACACCAACTCATAAGGACTCTTACTTCCTTATGGAGCTAAGCTAAGCTATGGGCACACTTTCTCAGGACACAGGGCCTCACCTTAGCCAAATACGAAGGTCCAACTGTTGATCGATCTCTCTGTCTTCCCTTCTAGCCTCCCATTGTGAGTGCCCATCCGCCTGTGCCCAGCCAATGATTGAATCAGTACCACCCAGCGTTGCAGAAGGAGAAAGCGTTCTTCTAGTGGTTCACAATCTCCCGGAGAATCTTGAAGCCTTTTTCTGGTACAAAGGAGCGATTGTGTCCAGGAACAAGGAGGTTGCCGGGCACCGAATAAGCATAAATACAACTGTGTTTGGCTCTGGTCACAGTGGTAGAGAGATAGTGTACAGCAATGGATCCCTGTTGCTCCAGAATGTCACCTGGAATGACACTGGATTCTACACGCTACGAACTCTGACCACAGATCTGAAAACTGAAGTATTACGTGTGCAACTCCAGTTGGATAGTAAGTGATTTTTGTGATCATTCAGTCATGGGTTGTGTGTACACATGGGATTCACCTGTCTGACCTGTGCATACCTTCATTCTGTACTGTGTCCCATGTTGGTGTTTGAGCATTTAGTGCAGGACACACATACTAGAGACAAATGGCCATAGATTATACTCCTACCCTGACTCAACCTTCAGAGGTGTGTGTGTGTGTGTGTGTGTGTGTGTGTGTGTGTGTGTGTGTGTAAAGGGTAAGTCAGTGCAAGTGCATTAGACTCTGTCTTTGGTGTCTTTGGTGTTGGCGTCAGGCATATCCTGGAATCCTCAGAGGTGCACACCAGGAATCCCTGGCTCCAGCCCTCTCTCCCAGGCTTGATTACAGTGACATTGCCAAGTTTGGACTCTTACTTCCTTATGGAGCTGAGAGGGAACAGCAGTGTTTTGGTGTCCATATTTCACAGCATGTGAAACCAGCTAGTGCACTGATCTGAGAGACACATTCAAGCTGGGTTACCTGGGCGCCTCCTTCTGAGACTCAGCAGGGAGGGCAGAGCTAGACAGGTTCCCTAGTCATCAGCCAATTCTTCTGATGGACTTATGAGATTTCCCAGGTTGATCAGAGTCCTCAAGGTGAAGAACAGAGAACACAGATCCACCTGGTATGTGCTTGTCCTCTGGGGTCCACCCCAGGGAATTTGTCTCATGCATTCAAATAGTAACTAGCTATGGTGGTCTTTACATCTCCCAGACATGCTCTATAGTCATCCTATTGATCACCAGGGGGTGATATTAGCTCACAGCCAAACCCTGAGGTGCTGGTTTCCTGGAGAAGACGAAGGAAATGTATGTGATTTCCCTTTCTGTCGCAATAGACATGGAGGTCCCTCTCACAGGCCAATCTGAATACTGGTTCTTCATTTGTCTGAGAAAATACCATGCTTGTGGGCCATGTTCAGCCTCCTTCCTTCTAGCATAGAGAAAAAATGGGTGACCACAGGGAAATTACCAAGCAAAGGATAGAGTTGTCCCTAAAATGGCAGGGTGCACCCTACCTCAGCCAAAAAAGAAAGGGGAATTCAGGGAAAGATTTGAAACCCTCAACAGCAGGGTGACACCACACCTTTCCAGGTCACAGGTGACCTCCTCAACACAGGACATGGATCTCCTGATAGAACTCTTCTTGCATGTCTGTCCTGGATCTGACTTTGAATGGTCACCCTAGTGATAAGCAGTAAGTGTCCTTCCCTGCCATCACTCAGGTGGTCCCTTTCTAGCTGTCACAGACATCTGCTACCTACTGAATGAGAGCAATTTCCACCTTACCAGAACGTTGAGGACACAAGGACAACTGGGTTCACAGCAGAATTTCTGTGTCACAGAGAATGCATAGGGATGAGAGTGTCCCCCTTTTTGGTACCACAGAGCCAAAGCCAGACAACAGCAGAGGTCAGCCCTGGGGTGAGGTGTTGAACTTTGGGTCACAGGGATGATTATTGGCCCCTTGGTCACTCTGTGGTCTGGAGGACTGAAATGTAAAGAGATTTGGAAAGAGAATCACCAAGCAATGCCTAGGACAGGAGGGCTAATTGACTTGGACAAGAACCCACCCGTGATCCACGTGGCTCTCTGATGGGCTTCTGCCATGTAGGAGGTTTAGCTTATAGGGAGACTGCCACGGACTACCCCAGCCTGGTAGTATGGGAGTCCCTGGGACCAGGGTCCTCGAAGAATAGGTGGGTAAGTATTCAGTGGTGACAAACAGAAACAAACACAGAGGCAGTTTGAATCTGAGTGTATTTTGCAGTTGTCAAACAAGGTTTTTTATTGAGATATTTTCTCAGGGGATGTTTATGTTAAAGAAACCAAAACACTTGTTACTTGGCTCATGATATGGCTCAATTACAAACCCAAATATCTACTATGAGTAAAACACACGTTGAATCTACTGGATTAGATTTGGCTGGGCAATGCACACACCTGCTCAGGACACAGGGCCCCAACATAGGCAAATACAAAAGCCCTACTACTAATGGATCTTTCTTCCTTTCTAGCCTCCCGTTGTGTGAACCATCCCGCCTCTGCCCACACCACAATTGAATCAGTTCCACCCAGCGTTGCTGAAGGGGGAAATGCTCTGTTAGTGGTTCACAATCTCCCAAAGGATACTCGAGCCATTTTCTGGCACAAAGGTGCGGTTGCATTCAAGAATCAGGAGGTTGCCCGACGCAAAATTGCCGCAAAATCAAGTGTGCTGGGCCCTGCACACAGTGGCAGAGAGACAATGTACAGTAATGGATCCCTGCTGCTCCAGAATGTCACCAGGAATGACGCTGGATTCTACACCCTCCAAACTGTGACCACTGATCTGAAAGTTGGATTAGTCCATGTGAAACTCCTGGTGGACAGTAAGTGGTTCTCTGTGATCATTCAGTGTTCTGTGGTATTTAGACACACAGCAGTGTCTTTTCTGGCCCGTGCATAGTGTCACCATGTTGGTGTGTGAGCACTTAGTGGTGGACACACATGATGGGGACAAATGGTGATAGATCATCTTACATCATCTGAATCCTCCTGTATCAAGAAAGTCCTTGTAGCAAAGTCACTCAGCCTAAGATGTCAGATCATGCTCAGTCTCATGGGCATCTCAATACACGTTTTAGTAAGAAAGACCATGTAGGCATCAGGCAGGAGCTGATTAAGGAATCCATGGCATCTTAACAGAGAGGCAGTCACCAGGAAGCTTTGGCCACACTCAACTGTCCTAGGCAGTGGCAGAGAGACAATGTACAGTAATGGATCCCTGCTGCTCCAGAATGTCACCAGGAATGACGCTGGATTCTACACCCTCCAAACTGTGACCACTGATCTGAAAGTTGGATTAGTCCATGTGAAACTCCTGGTGGACAGTAAGTGATTCTCCGTGATCACTCAGTGTTCTGTGGTATTTAGTCACACAGCAGTGTCTTTTCTGGCCCGTGCATAGTGTCACCATGTTGGTGTGTGAGCACTTAGTGGTGGACACACATGATGGGGACAAATGGTGATAGATCATCTTACATCATCTGAATCCTCCTGTATCAAGAAAGTCCTTGTAGCAAAGTCACTCAGCCTAAGATGTCAGATCATGCTCAGTCTCATGGGCATCTCAATACACGTTTCAGTAAGAAAGGCCATGTAGGCATCAGGCAGGAGCTGATTAAGGAATCCATGGCATCTTAACAGAGGGGCAGTCACCAGGAAGCATTGGCCACACTTAACCGTCCTAGGTTCAGTTACTAGCTAACATAGGGGGCATTTTGCAAGGGGTAGACGATCAATGCTTCTTAGTGCTGAATGGGAGCAATGGCTTTTGGCTGTCCACGTCAAACTGAGGCATTTGTTTTCTCTAAACACGAGTTTCATAAATAAAATCTAGGACCTGGTGCAGAGACGGTGGAGGAGTGATGCTCATTAGTTTGTTGTTCATTGCTTGTTCAGCCTTGTCTCTTATGTCACCCTGGATCCCTTAGGATAGGAACAGAACTGCGTTCACTGGCCTGGACCCTCCCACGTCAATCACCAATTTAAAACATTGTACCATATATTTGCCCACAGACCACCAGTATGGTGGCACGTTTAATTGAGTTCCCTTCTTTCAAAAAGACTGTAGCTTGTGTGACAACGACATAAAACCAGCCATCCTAGTATCTAAGTCGTTTCAAAAACAGCTGAGGATGCCAAGAACATCAGATTTCTGGCCCTTATCCAGTCGTAGACTTGTGGGATTCAGGGCAGAGAAGCAAGAGCATGTAGATTTGAAGTCGGGGGTTGAGTGGAGCCACACAAGAAATTGAAAAAAAGCTATAGAATGAGGATGTGAGGTCTGTGGAGAAAAAGTTCAGAGGGGGCATAATCTCAACCTCAGTGTGCAGAGCTTGGCTGAGGGCAGCCAGGGGCAGCTGTACAGACACCCCGGAAGAGAGTTCCATGTAGAGGAAATGACATATTCAGGGTCACTGAGGAAATGAAGGTCATGTTGTTGACATCCACCAAGTGGGTTACAAACACCCACACCTTCATCTCTAGGCTGAGTGATGGATCCATCTGTTTAGGATAAAGGTTGCTATCTTTCCACCAAGCACACGATCCTTGTGATAACTGTTTTTCTTTTGTCTTTCAGCCTCCCGTTCTGTGTGCTGCAACTCTCTCACTTCTGTCCAACTCATGATAGAGCCAGTGCCACAGAATGCTGTTAAAGGGGACAGAGTTCTTTTCCTTGTTCACAATCTGCCAGAAAATCTGCGAGCCATTGCCTGGTACAAATCAACGTATAGCAACGAGAGTTCTGAAGTTGCAGTATTGAACATTCCCAAAAATGACATCACCAAGGGGCCTGCCTACAGGGGAAGAGCAGTGGTGTACACCAATGGATCCCTTCTGCTCCAGGATGTCATGGAGAGTGATGCAGGCGTCTACACACTGCTAACATTAACCAGAGATTTCAAAATGGAAAAAGCACAAGTACAACTCCATGTGTACCGTAAGTGATTCTCTATGGGCTCCATAGATTATCCTGGCTTATCCTGATTCACACACTGAACTCCCAGGACTGGGCTGTGCCTGCTTCCTTCTCCCCATTGTGTCCCCACATGGGAGTCTGGACCCTTACTGCAGGACACACATGGAGTAGACCAAATGTAAACTATCAGAAACCCTCAACTCACTTTTCCTGTAGATTGAAGGACCTGTGCATGGTAAACTCAGACCCAGGGGAGCCCTCACCATGCACATGTGCCCAGAAAGACACTGTGGGAGTCAGGCAGGCCCTGGCTGATGAAGACATGGGATCCTCACAGAGAGTGCCAGGAAGCCCTGGATGCAAATTTCTGTCTCTGACTAGATCCAGATAACACTTGAGAGCTTTTATTTACTTCTTGGTTTTGACTTACTATTAGAGATGGCAGGAAACAAGGTTTTTTTTTTCAAGACAGGGGTTCTCTGAATTGTTTTGGAGACTGTCCTGGAACTCAATCTGTAGACTAGGCTGGCCTCGAACTCACAGAGATTCATCTGCCTGTGTCTCACGAGTGCTGGGATTAAAGGCGTGTGCCACAAATGCCCGGCGAGACAAGGCTTTCTTGGTATGTGAAACAAGCTAATGCACTGTCATGAGTGTTATAGTAAGCTTAGGTCACCTGGATTTCTTCCTCAGAGACAGCAGATGGAGAGTGTAGCTGGTCAGGTTCCCAGACAGCCAAGTAACTGTCCTGATGGAATTATGAGATCTCACAGGAAGCTCAGGCAACAAAGGAGAAAAGTCCTTTTTTTTTTAAC